TCGGCAAACGTCGCGACAAATCAATCCTTTCAGTCCAGTGCCTGTATAACCGTAATAGCTGTTGTTATTGAATAAATGTAATGGATCACTAGGTTAGCTGTAACCATAATTCGACCGTGGTATTGCTTTCCAGTAATTTCGAGAATGTACTAGAAATACCTCGGGGCCGCGGGAAAACTATACAAGACCAGAGACATAGCATCTGCTCTCAGTTAGTTAGTTGTTATTGTTTTCAGTTCAGTGTGAAATAAGATATCTCTGGATTAGCTTTCTCTTTAGGTGCGCTTTATATTACGTTGCTTTTAACTTTCTTAGTAGTTTCGAGTGTAACTACAGATTGCGCCCTGCGATACTGTGAACACTTGTACGAGTATTTCTGTGGAAAATTCTAGAACTTTGAAGTATTTCATTTGATAAAAATAAATTTTAGTAACCTACCGTCGGACTTGTGCGTATTCAATATATTACGAACCAGTATGCACGCAGCATTGCTAACCAAAATGTCATGAAAATGAGAAAATGTAATTAAACTATTTTTTCCGGCCGAAGAAACAGGAAGAATCAGGTATACCCTCGCCAGGATTTGTTTTCCAAATGCCAGCCGGTCGTGCTACCAAAAAAAAATTCCACATATTCTCTCCCATTTAAAGGGGGCGTTGGTGAGAAAAGGACAAAATCCAATCAACAAAATTCAAACGAATTAGGGGTCCATAATATTTTAGCTGGGAGCCATTGTAGGATTATTAGTCCTTTCGGAACAAGAAAGAACAAACATCATTAGCCGAAGATGCTTCCGACTATTAGCAAAATGCAATTCCGACTATTAGCAAAATGCAATTCCGACTATTAGCAAAATGTAATTTCGACTATTAGCAAAATGAAATTCCGACTATTAAGCAAAATGCAATTCCGACTATTAGCAAAATGTAATTCCGATTATTAGCAAAATGCAATTCCGACTATTAGCAAAATGCAATTCCGACTATTAGCAAAGGTAGTACTAGATGTACAACAAAAGAACCCAGTGAGCAAAGCAAATATTCCTTACACGGTATGACAGAAATAGTCATAAATTAAAATTACAGAAATCATCTTTTGAATTTTGTGAACGTCACTGCCCCACTTCCGAAATAGTCGCTTGCGTAATGGAAAACTCAATTAAAACTATATGCAGATATTTTCGACATCCTGAATTTTTACATTTTTTAAAAATTTGTACTGGATGCTTTTCTTTTCTGATTGTTTAATTATTTTGAAGAAACAATTTTTGAAAGGCTAATTTTAACTGTCATATTCCACCAATCAGCCTTGAAATTAATGTTATCTTCTCAACATGGCATTTTTTCTTAAAGTATACAGAGGTCTAATTTTTTTTTTGCCACTTTTAATACATGAAATACATCTGTAGTAAAATATGAATTTTACTTCCATGAGTAAAAAAATCTCTACCATATGATTTCTTGACAATTCCATATTTTAAATGGCAACAACCGTTAAGCGAAGTATCACTTACGGTATATATATATTTTTCGAAATAAAGCATATACATTATATACATTGAACTGCGGTGCTTAACCACCAGGGTGCCTGGGCGCATAGCCCTACCCCTCATCGAATAACATGATAAAAGTTTCGAATTATGAGAAATATAACTGAATGTGCTAAATAATTAAATAAATACATATTTTTTTCCTTAAGTACCTAATTACTAATCCATACATAATTAACTATTTTTTAACAACTATTTCACAGAAGAATACATGTACACAAGAGAAACAAAATACGAAGTGCGACGCCTTAGTGCCACTAGTAAAAACAAAATGCAATCAGGAGGAAAAAAGAACAATATACAATAAAGAATCTGAGCAACAATTTGCATAACACATATACAAAATTACATATTACTAACATTTAGGATCGCCCTTGGGCGGTTACTGAAATTGGGGTCCCTAGTATCATAACAATAGTTAACAACCACAGGATTGTCCAGAAGTTCCTGTTTATCATAAAATGCCCTAGATAGGCGGCAATAAAAATCACAAAGATCCTCTATTCTTAACTCTTTACGAATTTGGCTATTCCGAATGTACCAGGGGGCATTACATATCATACGCAATACCCCGTTTTGGGCAGCTTGTAACTGCCTTCTCAAACTTTTGCACGAGTATGCCCAGACGGGGCATGCATAACTAAGAATTGGACGCAACATGGTTTTGTAAATGAGCAACTTATTATCAATAGATAGAACACTGTTTCGAGCAATTAAGGGGAAGAGTGAAGCTTTACTAGCTCGAAACTTCCTGAGAATATGTGTAACGTGTGGGTTCCACGTATGAGATTTACTGAGGATCACCCCAAGATAAGGGACCTGCTTGACCCAGAGAATGTCCACACCATACATTTGCAGGTGAGTCGGGAAATTCTTCTTAGTAGTAAACAGTATGGCATGTGTCTTGTACTTACGGTATATGGTTTGTAAACAAAATCTAATTTATTGCTCCAATAAAAATAAAAGTCTGTAAACAAAATTTTGGATTATGTTTTATTATGTATGCGTAAAAACCAGTTTTTTAAATTTATACCAACATAAGCAAATGTTGATTTCTTTATTTCTTATTAAACATTTTATTATTGCGTGCATACGGGATCGTAGAAGACTGAATGCACAAGTCCGATAATAGGTTAATAAACATTTATTTTTATCAAAAGAAATATTTCAAAGTTCTGGAATTTTCCACAGAAATAGCCGTACAAATGTTCACAGTATTACGCAGAAGTTACACAGCAAACTACTAAGAGTGTTAAACACAACGCAATGCGAAGCGCGCCTAAAGAGAAAGTTAATTCGACCTCACTCTGAACTCGCAACAGTAGCAACAACAACAAAAGGAATTAACTGACTGACTAACTGGAATTAACTGACAGGAATCAACAACAGAAATTAACTGACTGACTAACAGTAATTAACAAATATGAATTAACTGACAGGAATTAACAACAGCAATTAACTGACTGACTAACAGGAATAAACAAACAGGAATTAACTAACAGGAAATAACAACAGGAATTAACTGAGAGCAGATGCTCTGTCTCCGGCCTTAAATAGTTTTAAGCCGGCAGCCAAGATATTTCTAGCATTGTCTCCTTCCAGAAATTACTGGAAGGCGATATGAGTGTCTAATTACGGTTACAGCTAACATAGTGATCAATTACATTTATTCACTTACAGTACTTATTACGGTGATACAGGGACAGAACAGAAATGCCGCCAAATAGTCGCCCAAACCGTTGTCAGCTTGGCGATATCTCGCCAAATTACCGAGATACCCATTTACACAATGTTAAATTCACTTGCCCCTGTACTCGTAGTTTTGTTGCAGAGTTTTCTCTTAAAATTTGTCTCGCGCTACGTTACACAGAAAACTACAACAATTTATTTTGCTCATAATTCTACTAAAATTACCTATCTAAGTACAAAATTTCTAACAGTACTTCATTGAGCAGTTAATAGCAAATAGCCCAAAGACGGAATTTGTCCAGAAGGGCTATTAATGTCGTTTTAGCAATTTGTGTCGATTCACTATAAACGCAGGTTCACTTTTCAAATTGTTGCCACCAAATATTAGAGCACTGCGTTATATTTAAAGAAATTAAATAAGGAAAAATCTTATGCATTGTGATAAGGTTACATAAAAGAAGAAGAGACTGAAGATTTATATGGACAAGGATGTCTCGTGAGCATAAGCTGAAAATTATTATTTTTTTAACTTACAAATACGTTTCAATAGTTATTAAAATAGTCTTTATTAAAATAATTAAATCATTGGCAATGTTAAAAACGCAAGCTCGAGAGCCACGAATTGCTCTCGCACGTAAAAGGTATAGAATGTGATTTTTGAAATAGTAATTTTCTCTCTTGTCGAATTTTATGTAGCCATTTTTTTTTTTTTTTTTTTTTTTTTTTTTTTTTTGCGTTCAATAAATTTTATGCTGTGTTTTGTTTTGAACCTGATGTCACAACCCAGGGTTTGCATAGCGGTTTCGCTCACTACACAACAGTATCTTTCTCGCACTGTGAAAAAACAACGGTACTTAAATCTGAAAACAAGGATCTGGAATTCGCTTTTTTATCTGTTTCATAGTTTGTCGAACATTAAAGAATTTTTGATTGAACTGAACGATTTCAAAGCGAGCAATGGCACATTCTCGCCTGCGGCTTGATATAAATAAATATTAGCTGTAATAGAAACAGCCTTAATATGTGCTGCGTTATTTTAGATTAAACTCCTATTATAGTGATTCTATACTTTTCCGCGAGAATTCCAAGTAAAGGCTTTCATATAGTTCATCATATACAGTTAAAAATTGATTGTATACGCCTGATTGTTTATGATTGTATATGCTTATCATGATTGTGTATATAAATATAAGAGTTTTCAATACAAAATTTGAGAAGTTTTGGATTATATCGTAATATACAGTTTTCGCAAAAATCTGTTCGCGTCTTCAAATAAAATATCACTTACGATTTATCAATCATAGCCAACATCTATTATGTTGTCCTCATTGATATAAATATCTTAAATAGTAAAATTAAAAAGTTTTGGATTTTATTTTAATAAAATGTTTCTTAAAACCTGTTTTGGGCTTCGAATAAAATACCACTTCCGTTTGTCCCAACTTTATCCCAACCCAAATCAAATCTCCACATGAATGCAGAAAGTTTAAACATGGAAAATGGAAGCTTTTAGAAGTTTCACGTATGTATTATCGTGGTTGGAAAAAAATCGTCACACACAGACAGATAGATGTCATCCTAAAAATTTTAAAAACGTGTAGTGGGGAAAATGCCTGGTTTTTTTTAGGAATGATTTAAGACTTATGTATCCAATACTTAAAGGATTTTCAATATTTTAAAACCCTAAAATGATATTGGATCTAGGCAGAAAATTTTTTTATTATTTTTCTATTATTTCTCATGAAAAGAATTCATTTTACAGATTTGCCAGCAGGAATTTTACAACAAGCATTTTCCAACAGAGGTCGACTACAGTAAGTTATCGCACTAACTCAATGATGCACAACTCCCAGTCCCTTTTAAAAATTTTTTAGCACTCTTGAATTTTTGCTTTAAACACGGTTTACATTTTATAGAACTCTTCTTTTTATAATGCACTGTTATTTGATGCACAAATCCTAGCCCTTTTTAAAAATTTTGTAGCACTTTTTAATTTTTCTTTTAAACGCGGTTTACATTTCATAGCACTCTTCTTTTTATAATGCACTGTTATTTGATGCCCAAATCCTAGCTCTTTTTAAAAATTTTGTAGCACTTTTGAATTTTTCTTTTAAACACGGTTTATATTTTATAGCACTCTTCTTTTTATAATGCACTGTTATTTGATGCACAAATCCTAGCCCTTTTAAAAAATTTTGCAGCACTCTTGAATTTTTCTTTTAAACACGGTTTACATTTTATAACACTTTTCTTTTTTGTAATCCTTTGTTATTTCCATGACATTATTTCAAGGATCTAACACTTTGCGCCTTCGCCTATCACCGTCGCTCTTTAGCCAACAGGACATTCCGTCGCTAGCTGACTCGTCATACGCTGTTTCGCCCTCAAGTAGAAATGAAATACCTTATAAAGTTACTTGAAATATATACAAATGTTTACATATATGGGATGTAAAAAATTTTAAATAGTTAGTTATAAAATTATATCAATATCAAACAGAACAAAATTTATGGCATTTCATAATTATGAGCTAAATTTTTGTATTGAACAGAAGTTATGTTATAGTTGCAAAAATTATTCACGTGCAATATTTACACGATTCGTCAAAATTTCTTGAAATTTTAATTAGCTAGTTCAGAAAAGTCACTCATGCTAGTAAAAAATTCCCATTTTCATGAAATCTAAAAAAAAGAAGAATACTTCGCAATCGGGTTAAAAAATTACTCTCTTGAAATTAATAAATATACACAGGGTATATCAATAATTTAACTTTTATATCATGCGTAACGATATATTTGTATAAAATTGTACCCAAAATCATTTTACATATTACTCAAAAACATTTAATGATAGGAATTTGCTGGAATATAAATGTTCACAAATATCTGGTTCTTTAAATGCCTAAAGTTTAGGTAATATTTTAGCAATTCTAGAACATGTATTAGTTGCAAAGCCCTTTTTCTTAAATTTCGAAAGAAATTTAAGACAGCCAGATGTATATATTAGAAAATCACAATAATCAAACTAAGCGAACTTAATATAATATTGCAAGTTATTGTTGCGTTCGGATTCGTAATGGACTGAATGCACAAGTCGATAGAAAGTTAATAAAATTTATTCTTATCCCACGAAATACAACAAAATGCCAAAATTTTCTCAGATATATTCATACAATATCGCAATATCTTATAGTAGGTATATTTTAAACTTCTAAAACTTCGAGTAGAACTCTATTCAGAACACTGAGAAAGCTAACGCGATCTCACCGCGAATTCGCTACAATCAATAACAGCACTAACTAAACAACTAAATTGAGATGCTTTTCTCTGGCTTTTAGAAGCTTTTTAATCATGCACGAGAACATTCTGGTAATTTTTATTTCTCGAGTTTTCTGGAAAGCAAAAGCAATTACGAGATATCCTATTTATTAAATGCGTGTGCTCCTGTATTTTAACTTTACCGGCGTAGCTTTCTCTTTAAATAAGTCTCGTGCTGCATTACACGGGGATTTAAAACAATTTTAATTAATTCTACCAAAAATAGCTAAATAAATACAAAATCAGTAACAGTATAATATAGGCATAAAGAAAAATATGTCTTGACTATGCAATATATAAACAAAATTATTAAACTAAATAATCTTAATATTATACGGCAAAATATAATACCTTCATGTTAAGAAAAATATGTCTGGCGAATTGTCACGACAGTGAAACGGTATGACAGCGAAACAGCCACGTTGAAATGGCGGTAGCAAATAGTCCCATTTTTAGTTTTAAATAATAAAGAAAACTTCATTTTATAAAATTATATACAAGTAGTGCAAAGTATATCATTTTAATAAGAAGTGCTTGAGCAAGTGGGGATACACACTCTATTTCTTGCTTTTCTACCGTCGATGGCGGTGGCTTATTCTTCTGTTGGCTAAGAGGCAAGAAACGCCAGCTAGCAAATCGTAAGGCATGAAAATTCGGTAAACTGTATTGCATTTGTCGTAGCAAATACTTTCTTTTCGCCATCGACGGAACAGCTGGCTCACTGGGTTATTTGCTTTTCAGCCTGTTGGATTACCTGTTGGATCTCGTCGATGGAATTAAAAATAAATATAAATAAGGAGCTTAATACTGTGTCCTCCGCGGATTGGCCATGCTAGATGAAGAACATTGAAATAAGAACCAGAACATGGAAAGAAGGTGCATGGTGGGGACTGCTGAAACTAAGCGGAACACTTTTCATATATTTACATGTTAGGATACGTAGGCTTAAACCCCTTCGCGCCGACTGTCACTAACGTGCCAGCACGAACACCTTACCTACCGCCGACACTCAGGCGTGCCAGAGGATTTTCATTCTCTAAACCGACTGTCACTATTGCCAGTACTTTGGCACGTTTTTCAAACTATAATTCTGCCAGAAGATGGTAGTATTCCATATGTTTCATCTACGGAAATTAACCGTCTCTCAAATAGAAAGCATACTCCATACACTGTTTTTGATTATAAAAAACGGGAAATATTTTCCCGAATGGCGTGATTTATTATGTCTCTTTAAATCGCACTTTATTCGCACGTGTAGTTGTTTACTGTAATAGATTTTTATTTTCTCTAAAGCGTTGGTATTTCGTTTGCTGTTCGTTTTTAGAAAATAATTAGATCTTGTAGACGGAATTCTTTGCTTTACCGTTGCATGTCGAACGTCGAAAAGTTAACAAGCTGAAATACAAAATGATGCAAATATTTCAGTATTGATTATGAAATTCTGATATGATTCGAAGATTAACTGAAGACATTTCCAAAACTTTTTCAGAGAGACTATAGCAATGAGACACGATGTTCGTTTAATTCCGAAAATCCTCCAAAACTGCAAATGAGTATTCGAGTGCAAGGAATGTAATGTAGGAATGTGTGTAGTCCCTGTTTTCAATTTTTCACACAAAAGGAATTTAAGTAATATTTAGTTTTCAGATGAATGTTAAAATTCATAAAATGTAGTAATTAAATAAAATGTGTAAAATATGCATTAAAAAGAAATAGGTAATTAAAGTATATTATAAAATATCTATAAAGCATAGCGTTTAAATACTCTAATAGATTATTAACAATGCTTTGATACTCGGAAATTCATGTTTAGCTTAGTACAAAAAGCCCCGGCCTGGAGAACGCCGCTAAGACACTGCCGGCTCAGCGATAAGCGCGCGTTTTCGCTACCCGGCTCGAAGGGGTTAATAACCAGGTACATTGTAAAGATGAACAAATACATTACAAATTGCGGAATACGTTAAATGAGTTCTGGATTAATCATAATATTAAATATAATTAAAACAAAACAAGTAGCTTCGTCATTTCCCAAATTTAATTTTTATATTGTCCTTTAATTTGTTTATCAACAAAAAAATATTTCCTAACCTTATGTATATAACTAATATCCGAAGAGAAACGTGGAGGTTTTGCTTTCCATTATTCGGTCGTACTGGAAAGTTTAAACATATATAAAAAAACGGTATGTATTATTTTATACTAAAGTATGCCAGTTTCAAAAGAATGTGATTAGAAACATCATTTTAAAACAAATTTTGAGACTAAAAAACGTATTCTGGTAAAGCAACAGCACAAAAAATTTGCTTTTTTTCATCTAATTGCGAATAACTTCACAACAAAGAAAAAAAAATATCAGTTAATTTTTAGCGTGTCAAAAATGGAATCAATTTAAATTTCATTGTATTCATGCACAAAATTATACAGATTTTTTTACAAATGGTTATTTACAAAAAAACAAAATGTTAAAGTAAAGCATCATAAAAGTTACGTTTACAAATCTGTGCAATAAAATTTAAGTGTGAATTTTATAGAATGACAAAAGTTGATGATTCATATTCAAAAATCATGCAAAGATTTATATTTGAAATGTTTAATATATTTTTGTGCTATTTTAGCCACCGATGAATGAGTACCTACTGCTTAGCTGATTATAGACTGTAACTGTAGAGTTTTTTTTTCCTCTCTTATTTTCACAAACTTTGGTACTTTTCGTAATCAGACACGTATTTCCATGTTCAAAAATGCTTTAAATTAAGTAAATACTTATTTTAAGACAATCTGAGATCTAAAAAATCAATATTCTAAAAATTAAGTGTCTAACTGTACGGTACTTCTTGTACAGTATCCTAGTTCATACAGTTATATTTAGAAAAAGCTTATACGCCTTCTGGGGGGGGGAACCAAACATTTGACCCCGTTCAGTAAAAATTAGCTGAGGTATTAAGTTTTGAAATTTTTGAACCCATTTCCTAAAATTGAATGGTCGAACGTAAGTTAAAGAGAGAAAAATTTACTTCGTAAATTGAAAAGATTGCTGATATTAATAGATTAAGTGACCAGCATTCTATGCAGATTCTAGTGATACAAAAGTTTAAAGGAAATCTTATTCGTAGAATCGTTTAAAATACATATACTAAAAGCAGTGGCAAATTTCAGTATTGCCACCGACAGTTCGTAACATTAGTATAAATTAAAATAGAAAAATATTTCATGTTCATTCAACGATTTTTGTAGAGTTATTAGAGTAAATTCTAACAGTAGAACTTCATATGAATATTAATAACGCATTTCACTTTGAAAACTTTAAATTACTTATCTGAACATTCTTTCATCATACCATACGTATAAATTTATAAATTAAAAAATACTACGCCTTAGTAAACTACAAAAAAGTATCACCATAATCATTATTGCACAGAAAAAATAAATCACGAAATATTTTTTAACTTATTTTTTAACCGATCCCTCTAAGCAAGCTGAAAAAGATGGCGATATCTTAAACTGAAATTAAATATCACTCTGTCAGCTTTATTTTTTAATCCAATTTTTTATTCCTTAGAATATTTTTTTCTAAATATAAGGCAGAGGAACTGTATAAAAAGTATGGTTTCGTAGCATTTACAAAATTGACTTTTAAAATTTAAAAATATCAAAATATGAATTTTTGTGTCATTTAAAACATAATTTTCAATGAAAACATAATTTTCAATGAAAACATAGGTATGCAAACGATAGCTGCGAAAATAAAGGCCGCTTACAGACATGGTATTTATTATTCACGAGAAGCTTCTAGGATTTTGTTTATTGCAATAACAAACAAAGGACTAAAATTTATTACAAAGCCTACATTAGATAAATTTGAGCTATTTGCTACTATTCTACTATTCTATTCTATATATGCTACTCCTTAAACTCCTCCTTGCATTTTAACCTTACAGAATATGGTGTAGCAAAACGGTTAAAAGGAATTTTCAGAAGACATTTCGAAATGTTCTGCATTATTGATTTTCCGCATATACTTTAAAGTTAAATTTTCTGAATTTATTTTTTCATATTACTTGATAAAAATTGTATATAATAAAAATTTTATAAATATATTTTATTCATTTATCCATTTTTCCTCAGCTCTCTGAATTGGGGAGCACTGGGTTTCAAGATTGCTCAAGAAATGTCACAAGCATTCTTAAACGAAGGTAAAATAATTATTCATGTTAAAATATTAGTCAGCGTATGCATACATATGCAGTAAAGAAACAAATTAAAAACTGAGCTGCTTAAATCCTTAAAAATATCGCGGTAGTTTGTAAGGATTTCTTTAATTTTATTAACAGTTAAATTACCTTTCCTATCGCTTCTTAATTTCAACTTACCACTCCTGGCCAGAACGTACTTTTAGAATCACGTCTGAATGCTAATGAGGAAGAGCGGTATGAACCGAAGTTCTACTATCTAGTAAGAGGATACCAATATCTGCTGACGCATCGCCGTTTTATGCTCTCTTCTTAGCTATTATTACGCTCGCCTACTAGGCCTTGATACTTCGAGTCAATTAGTGTTAAGGGCTACTCTGTTAGAATTGATAGTTCGGCTATCCCCTTTAGTTAAGATTAATTGTTAATCTTAGTCTCTTAAGTTGAAGCCCAAGTGCGGCTTTATTATTACTCCAGACGGAGTTTTGTTAACTAGTGGAATAATAAAAGTATTTCACGCTTCTCACTTGTTGTTTCCTATCTCACGAGCTCAAGCCATAATTCGCTTACTAGTTCTTAAGATTCTTCACTTTTAACTGTAACTTAGAATTACACAGTGGGGAATCCTATAAGTTAACCTTTTATATCTATAACCGAAACACCTTTTCACATCTGCTCCTGTAGAGCTGTGTTTAATTCTTTCGCATCGTTAGAGGCCAAATTCTATTCCTCTCAAAGATCTGAAACACCCGCATACACGAATTTTTGTTGGAATGAATTTCCTTCCCCCATGCCAAGTTGAATACTACTGTGTTAATGGTAACCTACTTAAGTGAAGTGATTACTTCTCTCTTGGGGATCTTTATGAGGTTTCACCCACTGTTAGCAGTTTTCCCTTATGACGAAACAAAGGAGAGGGAAGGTGCATTCAAATAAGAGAGCTATTTTTAATTGTTTCAATAATATGATTGATATGTCCCGAAAACAATCAGTCATGCTAACGGTTATAACGTGATGGGAGAAAGTACCAGGTAGAAAAAGAGCGCAGGCATTGGGACGACCTGAGGGTGTCTGAATGCACGTACGTTTCGGGCGACTTCGCTGTGAAAGAGTTTAACAGCATTTTTTTACTAGGTTTGTATAAATACTTATTTTATACTTTACTTTGAGAGTCTTTCATTCGTTAAAATGATAACTAAGTTTGTAGAGACTTTAGTTATTTTTGAAAGCAGGCAAAATGAAAAATGAGCAACGCCTTCACTGGGAGTGGAATCACGGATCCCTGGAATACGCACCCAGCGTACAAACCACCACACCACTAAGGCCGGAGAAATACCTTATTAAAATATTACCAAAGCGAAATATTTTAAATAAAAAGATAATGCTTATTAAGTGGTAATAGTTCCCTTGAAGTACAAAATTGGTTATATTGCTCAATTTCTTCTGTTTCCTAGATATTCAGATTTTTTCCTTGTCGCAGAGTATTACAGTTTTGTTGTAGCAGGGTATTATACTTTTATTTGTTTCGTAACGCAAGTTGGTGGTGTAAGCCTTCATATACCTTTTTTCAGTTTTTATTAACGTATTATGATAGTATAAGTTACCCTAAAACATTTTAATCAGCTTTATTCCAGCAGTTTTTAGAAATAATAGTTTACCCTCCATTCCATGTATAGACTAATTACTTAGACGTGAGAAAATTGTCAAGTTTGTCAGGACTTGTGTTTCTCTTGATTTGCTTTGGAAACATGATGTGTCCTGAATAGAAACAGGGAGCTTACTCAAGCTATGTTCAAGATTTGTGGTAACAGACGACACAACAGGAAGGTATCGAAACCCTATTTCTCTACTTTTAAAAGTACTTCCGAAATCGGGATACAGAGACCAACACTTGGTTGACGTAAGAATATAAACTACTAACTAAAGCTCTAATAAAAGCTAACTTGAATTAGTATACAAATGCTTACACAACTGGCTTTATTTAAATGGGTATATGTAGTTCGCGAGCTGTTGAAACTACGTTTTCAATATCAAGAGGGCTCAAACCTCTGGCCTTAAGGCAACCACAACGGAGAAAATCGTAAAGTGCAGTCAAGCGGCCTATCCTAAATCTCTCTTTTAACCTTGTCAAAGCCACAACTTAAATACTAGGGGTTAGCAAGACATTGCTGAACAAGTTAAAGCATTTAATTCGGCCGGAAGTAGAAAATAAGAAGTGATAGCACAGTTTTAAAATAAGTAAACGTTAGTAAAGCTTAGGACCCTTACAAGTTGAGCATTTTAACCACTGCGGTTTAAATGAAAGTTTCCTGCCCCTCTTTCTACTCTATACTAATAACTAAACCTTCCGTGGTGATTAAGAATTTCCAGAATAAGCCTTAGTCGCCAACCACTCCTCCTTCTCTTAAATGGTTTTACAGGAAAAAATTCCTATCAGCAAAACTTAACGGACCACCCTGTAAGGTGTTTTCATTCAGATCTGAAAGCGGCAAGCAAACAAAAATAAAAACCTTCATTTTAAGATTTAAAAAAAGCGTATGTTACCATTTACTTGATATTTCATCATAACTGTTTTAACCATTTCCAGGGATTTCTGTTTTTTTAGCTATATTTTCAAGGCAATCTCACAATCATGTAAGACATGGATGGAAAGAGATCAACTATTTTTAAAGAATTCTGATTTTTGCTGTTTCGAAACATACTGCCTGCTAACATATTTCAGATATCTCGAATTGTTGATTAAAGTGCCTTCTTATCACTAATAAATTTATTTGTAAAATGATAAATCTCTTTCTCAAAAATATTCATCATCTTGCATTTTGACTTAAAATCCTTTTGGTTAAAAATGAATGCCAACTCTTAAAGGAAGGAAACATATGCGAGATTTGCTTTAAATTTCAATCATTCCATTCCTCTTGGAGAAAGAATAAGTATGCTGTAGTAGCTGAGTTCCTGCTAGATATTTGCGCTGTAGATTCTTGCTGATACTCAGAGATGATTATGCATATTTATTATGCATTCTTATTGAATTAGCATATAACAAGTAGGTCGATTCAGCTGATTAATTCATCCAACACTTCAAATGCCCCATGTTCCAAGCTCTTGTTGCTTTTTAAATTAATATTATAAATTCCATTTGCTTTGCAATCGCACTGGAAATAAAAATACAAATGTTATAAAATCATAGCTTTCATTTAGGAAGTAAATGACTTATTTAAGATTTTTATTAACTAAAATGCAGTAAACACTTATGTATTTTCATGTGCCCTTTGTTAATATTGATGTTAACATCACAGGTCGATTCTATGATAAAGATGGCAATAAAGTTAACTGGTGGCGACCACACGTACAGTTGAGGTTTGAAGGGATATCCAATTGTTTCATAAATCAATATGGTGGTTATATTGAAGATGACTACGGATTAAATTTAGAGGTAAGACACATTTAAGACTTTATACTTTCTTCCTGTTTGATCTGTTTAAATTGGTAATAAAAGACTGTTTAAGTTGGATTAATCATTGGAGATGGTCAAGTGGGAGCATGAGTTAATTAGGATGTATTACACCTCCTCAAAAGAACCGATTTTGAAAGAAAGGCAACAAATGAAAATTAACTGAATTCAGGAAAGCGTATGGCATCATGTATGCATTATTTTGAGGAATTTTTTTTAATGTCATTTAAAAGGCAATTTAATTTTTTGAAAGAAGCTTAGATTTTATAATTATTAATCTGATGGCTCGCAAAGGCAAACTTAGAAATACTCTGAGAAATTTAGGCCAGAACTTTAGCAGTTCGTTACATTAAATGGGCTTTATCGACGCACATGTTTTTCAATGAACATATAAATACCCAACTCTACAGACTGATTTTTATTTCTCAGAGTCACCTTCAGTTATTAGGCAGACTATACATAAATCAATTGAAAACAAACCGTAAATACGTGAGTAACACAAGTGATTACTCTGAATATAACAAGCAAATATTGAAATATTGCACATGAACTAAGAAAACAAGTGAACAACACTGCGGGGAAAAAAAAAGGGGGGAGGGGAGGGACAGTTCTATTCTCCCGTTCCACTGGGCCGATTGACGAAATTCAACTTGCGTTTTTCATGTCTCAAAAGCGCAACTTAGGATATGTATCAGATTTATATATAGCATTGTTCTAATATAGGTATTATGACACAAAATCGGACAATTTCTGAAAAAACATCACAACTCAAAAACAATACTCAAATTACGCCAAACTATAAGTTGTAAAAATCGACGATTGTTTTTTAAAACATAGCTTTCAAATTTTAGCTCCTCATGTTAATTGAGTTGGTTATATATTAAAATCTTTTTTATTAAACTATTGAACCTTTCCCATTTCGAAATTCAGGTTCATTCAAATAATTCATCAATTTTTATGATTATTTTTAAAGTTTGATTTTAAAACATTTTTTATAAAATTTCAAAAGTTTCAAATCTAATCTATAAAAAATTTTACGATCCCTTAAGTAGACGTTATTCTAAGCATACATTCAAGACATTAGATTTTTTTTATTAAACTTCGAATACAGGGGGTGATTATAATTAAAGTTTAAGTTTCAAAACGCTATAAAAAAAAAACCACTGATGAAAATGAGTGAAATTGAAAGGAATTTATGAAGAAGGCGGAAAGCGTTGGCAGAAGAAAAATTTAGTTTCAAAAGTGCAAACAGAGCGCTGTAAGCGGCAGAATCACGACGAGAAACGAGAATGATTCGTAAAACAATGGCTAAGGAAAAGTTACACATTAAAACGCATTGACAAATTAGGAATTGTTGATAATTTTTTGCCTGACTGTACATATTCACATCGAAAGGGACAAATCGGTTTTCAAGATTTTGCGGCGCATACCGATAAGAACCATTCATCAAAGAAGTTCGGAACTGTCTGGCAAACATGTTCAATATGGTGTTGTGTGCAAAAGTTGAAGCGACAAACAGCTGTTCCAAACGGATCGCAGTGTTCCGGGTGATGTCAGAATGTTGTTGCGAAATGCGTGCTTTAATCCGCTAAATTTGCAATTGGACACGGAACACCATCACAGATATCCCCACAGCCAGAATCACAGGAGTAAGATCAGGCGATCGGGACGGCCAGGCTGTAGGGAAATGACGGCTGATAATTCGAGCATTTCCGAAATGGCGCCTCAGCAGCTGCTTCACGGGATGTGCAGTGCGGAGGAGCGCATCTTGCAAAAAAAGATTTCATTCACACATCCACGCTGTTGCAGAGCTGGATCACGTGGTTGCGCAAAAGAGACGCATATCTGACCAGTGACGATGCAGTAAACAGACCGGAAGCACCGTCTTTCGAAAAAATATGGTTTAGGATAAATGATGCCGTAAAGCCACACCATACCGTGACCTTAAGGTATGAAGTGGGGGGCGTTGCCAGTGGATTTTCTGTTGCCCTATTCGAATAATTTGGGTATTCAAGTATACTGCAGATGAAATGGGTTATCTCTCCACAAAATTTGGCCATTCAGAACTTCATGCGAAATTTCAACGTCTCCCTAGCTGTTAGGTCAGAAGGAAGCAACTCTGATACAGGATGTTTCGCAGCAATCAATGTTGTAATTCCTCGTGATAGCATTGCAGAAATGCACTCGTCCCTCTCGTACCGTCGTTTCGAATTTTTGCATCGTTTCTTTAGACCTACGACACATTGGACCAACGCCTCCTTATACCCTTCAGTGTAGAATTTTTGCAGAGCTACTTGCACACCATCATTCTTGTAATACAGCTTTCCAGCAGAGCGCGGTTCAACAACTGAAAATTTACTACATTTTTATTTGTCTTCTTCCGCTTGCGCGCCATTGTTGCTACTTTTGAAACTAATTTTTTCTTCTCCATACGCTTTCCGCCTTCTTCATAAATTCCTTTCAAATTGGCGTATTTCATGAGTGGTTCTTTTTTAGCGTTGAAACTTAAATTTAATTATAATACTCTGTATACACGAATTTATATATTGTCCCTTTTGAAATTTGGTATATTTGTTGAAAGGGATAAAACATCAAATGTGGTTTAGACGATTTGCTAAAATTATTTGGAAGTAAAAACGATGCGACTTTTTCCGCTCATGCACAGTGTAAAAAAGTAGGAGCGAGGTGTCCTTTTTTTCCGCTTCGGCATAATGGAAGAGAAAGGAAAATTGGTTGCCACATATTAAGAAAGTCGCCAAGGGAATTATTCTTGGCGCAAACTGGAAAAATTTCGCCAAAATAAATTTTTTAAATTTCTTCGTAAATTTCTCACCAAATTTTACAAAATTTAATTTCTAGGCACAATTTGAGTCGTAGAATCGAAACATGGGAAAAAATTGGTATGCTATTTCAGAAAAAGTCCGATTTTGTGTCAAAATGCCTATGTTAGAACAATGCTATATATAAATCTAATATATATCATAAGTCGCGCTTTTGAGAGATGAAGAACGTAATTTGAATTTTGTCAATCGGCCCAGTAGAATGGGAGATATAGAATTGTACCCCCTTTTTTTTTTCGCAGTGTACATTAATACACCCAATTGATATTGTTTAGTATAAAAATTCATCTCAATAACTTCTTACATCCAAATTACCACTGACCTTTATAGTAAACATTCTCTGTAAACTCAGAATCACAATGCATAAGACATTGCTAAAATCCTCATTCAACACAGTTAAAGTCTTAACAGGGTCTCTTTAAAAACCACAGGTCACAAATACCCATATTCCAAAGTAACTATAAATTCCGCTACAAATTTTAAGATTCTATAGAGAGTTTAGGCTGGCTCTAACGACAACAACGATTGAGTACAAATGCTAATAGTCACATAACAGGCGATACAGCAATTCAGTTGGTGGTAAGTAAGCTGAAAATTAAGTGAGTTTTAATTCGGAGACTCATTAATTAAGGGTTAGTAATCACCAAACTGCTAAATGTCTGTTAATGTTTACCTTATTAGGTATATATATATGTATATATATATGTGTGTGTGTATGTGTACAGTCTGCTAATATAATATACTACGGTATTAGTATATAATATTATATTATAGGACTGTAGAAATTTTTTAAAAAATTCTTAAAACTATTTCTGCACAAAATGCTGTTGAAAAATTAATTAATTAAACACTAAAAAAGTAAATAATTTTTGAACAAACCTATTCAGAGACTTGAAAGAAAATTAATTTAAAATTAATTGTATTTTGAAACTTTTTACATAAAAAGTGTTAGGTTTTGCAAATGAAAAATGTAAAATTGAGTATTTTTAAATTAGAACAAATTTTGAAAACGATAAAAATAAGTGAAAAATAGAAAAGGAATACAATTAAAATCTGATTCATCGCTGTCAAGAAAAAGTAGATCAAATTTCAGTTAAACTCCATTTTCAGTAAAAACCACTGTGTTTCTGTTCACCCAAAAGCTGATTAACTACTTTAAATTATGTTATTTTGTTTATCTGAAAATTTTTAAATACTTCTTCAACACAGTCTTTTTTTCCTTTCATATTCAATAACAAATCAAATAATAAAAATACTACAAAATAAAAATTTAAATTAAATACGTCACTCATGTTTCCAAAGTGAAGGTGTACTGCTATTTAATGCAAATATGCAAATGTAAGCGAAAATATTTATTGTATTTCATTTAAATTTGTATTTTTATAGTATTTTTATTATTTTCTCATCATTTTTTTTGTATTATTGAATATGAAAGAAAAGGTCTTGTAAAAATTTTTCTTCGACTTAGCCACCTTACTTCTGAGATTCAATTTATCGGCGGCCAATGATTCAATTTATTAGCAGCGGTTCGTGATGAATGACGTAGTAGTATGAATAAAGTTTGGAAAATATGTCATCTTACTTACAGACCCTATAAATCCAGTATTATTCTGAATCAGTTGTGATTGCGACGAGACTTTTTTTAATGGTTCATTAATGTAGTTAGATTTTTTATAATGATGCAGTAATATAGCTTTAGCAAGACAGTTTTAACTGCGTCGTATATGTCTTTCCCTAGAGTTTGTTTTGCTAAAGTCAACATCGTCGTCAATGCTTCTTTCACAGAACAGTCAGGAAAAGCCTAACACGCCAGTAGGAGAACAAAAATACAACGTCCACGTGCTTGACGTGTAATTGTACTTTTTTATGACTGTTACCTAAATTAGGATTAAAATAATGGTGATATTGGTGATTGTGGGTTGGTGAAACCTATAGACAGTATTGCGAG